TTAATATATGCATATGTGTTATTCCTATGTCAATAAGTATTTGTATGTGTATTATTTTCATGCTTATTTGTATGTGTGTTTTGTTACTCCCCTTCTTAATAGTATATGATTTTATATTTCCATGACATAATTTACATTAATATGTATGTGTATTATTTTTACATGCTATTATTATACATAGTTTTGTTATTTCCATGTTGATTAGTATATGAATGTGTTTCCTTTCCATGCCAATTAGTATAAGTATGTGTGTTATTTACATGCAAATTTGCATATCACTGTGAATTATTTCCATGCACAAAAATTATGAGTGTGTTTCAATGCCAATATGTATATTTTTTGTGTGTTATTTCCATGCATTTATTAGAGTAAATTTGTTTTATCTCCATGCCAATTTGTTCATAAATGAGTTAAATAGTATATAAATGTGTGGTTTTTCTATGTCACATAGTATATGTATTTGTGTTATTCTTATGCCAATTAGTATAACTGTTTATTTCCATGCCAATTAGAATAGGTATATGTGTTAATTCCATGCCAATTAGCTTAAAGTATGTCCGATATTTTGATGCCAGTTAGTATATTTGTGTGAATTATTTCCCTGTTAATTAGTATATGTATGGGGTTTTTTTCATGCCAATTAGTATATGAATGTATGCTATTTCCATGCCAATTACTATGTATTTTGTTTTCCCCAATTAGTAATTGTATGTTTGTTATATTTCTATGCCAATTATTATATAAATGTGTATTTTTTACATGTCAAATAGTATATGAATGTGTTTTATTTACATGCAGATTAGTATATGTTTTTATGTTATTTCCATTCCAATTAGTTTATTTATTTGTGTTATTTCCTTGTATGTGAATGTGTGTTCATTCCATGCCAATCAGTATGTGAATTTTTGTTATACTTATGCCAATTAGTATATGTATGAGTGTTATTCCTATGTCAATAGTGTATGTATGTATTCTATTCTCATGCCAATGTGTATATGTATGCATGTTTTTTTATACCAATTAGTATATGCATATATCTTATTATGCCAATGAGTATATGACTGTTATTTTCATGCCAATTAGTCAATGTATTGTGTTCTATTCCCATGCCAATTAGTATTAGAATGTGTTTTATTTCCATGCCAATTAGGATTAAAATATTTTTGTCTTTTCATTGTCACCAGTTTAATTTATTGGATGCACATTTCACCAATATTTTAATTTGATTTTTCTATTTAATAAACGTCATTTCCTATGCCTTGTTCAAATCTGAAATTTTCGTTTCATTTGTTCCACAATGTCCAGCTGTTGTTGAATTAATAAGTGGCAGTAAATGAAATGAGAAAGTTGGGTCAAATGTTGAGGTTGTAATGTTAATGAGGGAGTATCTCCTCCTGCTGTTATGAACGAGTCAACCAGCTGTTAAACTCTTCACACAAGATGTCGCCTTTCAAATCTGGGACATGACAGTTCCTAAACTTTAAGGGTTTTATTGGCCGCTTGCCATATAGCAAACCATCTCATTCAAAGTTAACAAAACCACGAACTTTGACAAAAATTATGTCTACATTTGAGAAATGAAACAATCTTTCTTATTTATTCATTTTAAAGAAATTAAGAAGTATTCGTAAATATTGTTTATGATGTCGGCAACTTTGCTTATCAAATAGTCAAACATTTCTCATGTTTTCTTACAAATTGTTTCAATCACAGGCGACACTTACACAAAGAATACAAATATTAGCCAAGTCGTTAGTGAAAATCTCTTATTTAAAAAAGATACCCTCAAAGTTCTGCTAACTTAAGCTATTAATCTTACACCCCGTTGAATGCACTATTAAAAATACCAATATTTATACAAATTGATAGTCTGCGTGGATGTTGACAACATCAATGTACATACATACTAACTGGGGGTGCACAGCGTTAATGGAAAGCATGTCAAGTTTTGGTGTTTGTATTTCGTTTACTGTTTGTCTTGACCCTTTGACCTGCTTCCATAAATTAAAATATAATTACATATTTTAAATTAAAAAAAAAAAACAAGAATACTTTTGGTGAATGTGGCTGTCACCGATTTATTTGTGAATATTATGATGGTTAATAGCAGTGTCGGTAGCCCTATCATTCATGGCGCCATCTGGTCGATAGCCCTATAATTCATGGTGGACTTTGGTCGTTAGCCCTATCATTCATGGTGGACCCTTGTCGGTAGCCCTATCATTCATGGTAGACTCTTGTCTGTAGCCCTATCATTCATGGTAGACTATTGTCTGTAGCCCTATCATTCATGTTAGACTCTTGTCTGTAGCCCTATCATTCATGGTGGACTCTTGTCGTTAGCTTTATCATTCATGGCAGCCTCTTGTCGGTAGCCCAATCATTCACGGTAGACTCTTGTCGGTAGCCCTATCATTCATGGTGGACTCTTGTCTATAGCTCTATAATTCATGGTGGACTCTGGTCGGTTGCCGTGCAACTTTGGTCATTTGATTTGTAATTTGTCTTTCGAGATGTCCTCTAGCATCTGTTAGTGAACACGTGTCAAACTTAAGGCCCGCGGGCCACATCCGGCCAGCCGAACAATTATATCAGGCCCGCGAGATCTTAACCGGCGTACAATTATACCCAAATCACGCCATGGTGTTTCCCAATGCACACTTTGCTGAAAAATTATCCGCCACTTGCTAGTCCTAATGATACATCTCCGCCACTTGATAGTCCTAATGATACATCTCCGCCACTTGATAGTCCTAATGATACATCTCAGTTACTTGATAGTCCTAATGATATATCTCCGCCACTTGATAGTCCTAATGATACATCTCAGTCACTTGATAGTCCTAATGATATATCTCCGCCACTTGATAGTCCTAATGATACATCTCCGTCACTTGATATTCCTAATGATACATCTCCGCCACTTGATAGTCCTAATGATATATCTCCGCCTCCATCTCCAACACATCATGCTTAGTTAACTTATTTTTAAAAATCACCATTCACTTAGTCAGGGGGTAATAAGGGGAGAGACTGCAATCAGGTTAGTACAAAATAAAATGAGTAAAACAGAGTAGGGTTAAACCTGAAAAAATAAACGCAACAAAACAGCGAACGTGTCGGCAGAAAACCTTCGTCAGCGAACAAAACAACAGAAAAAACGGTATAAAAATAAGAAATAGCACTTAGCTGGTAAGTAGTATCTGTGGGCAGCAATAGAAGTGTGGCAGAAGGAAAATGAGTGAGAGTTTAAATAAGCAGCG